TTGGTACTGGGGACTGAACTCGGGCCCTTGCGCTTGCAAGGCAGGCCACCGAACCGCTGAGCTAAATCCCCGGCCCTCAAAAAATTTTTTAAAGAAAAGGGGGAAAAAATGCAAAGCAAATAAAGATGTTTATTTTTTTGTTGTTGTTTTGCTTGTTGAAGATTTAGAATCCTACAGACAAACTTAAGCCTGCAGTTACACCAGTGAATAAAGGACAAAGAATGGATACCCTTCAGTTAGAAAGATAGTAGGATATTAGGCATTTTAACACACACCTTTTTAAAAATTAAATAGGCCAGGTTGGCCTAGGGTCCTAGGAAGATTAACAAACAGCCAGTGGAGTAGTGGGCAAGTGAGAATATTTGCCTTTTAGATAAAGCAGCTTAGCTCTAACTGAAAACTGAAACCTTCCAGAAACCAAAAGTCCTTCCTTGTGAGCACAAACTTTACAAAAGCACTGTGATTTTTAAAAATATTCCTCAAAAGCATGGGTAGAGATGACGTCATCTAGTCAGCATATTCTCCTGAAGGACCTTTGGAGATTGCATCTCTTTCCCATTGGGCACTGTAAGAATTCTTTTACTTTTCTTTTTTTTTTTTAATTATATCAGACCATCAGAGAGCAAAGTCTATCTAGGAAGCATTTCTAATAGTGAAGCAGTTTTAGTCATTAGCCTGAAGAGTAGAGCGAAATATTATCCTAGAGCTCCGTGATTCATGTCCCATCTTTTACTCTCCTCTTTTTCCTTCCAGGCGTGCACCCACTGCTACCTTTCATGACAGTAAACATAACATTGTGCATGTGCATTTTGATGCGACCAGAGGATGGTTACTGACTTCTGGAACTGACAAAGTTATTAAGGTAAGGCACCATCGTGTTAAGCTTTCTCTTTGTGGTCTACTTATGTAAATAGGGACACCAAGAACATGTGAGGCTCTGCTCAGGAGTTATCCTTGGCAGCTTTTTTAGGAGCCTTTTTTAAGAGACTGCAGTCAGAAGAATGATATAGATAAGAATAACCTTAAGAGTTCAGCAGAGGGAGATGGGGGTGCTGGGGAAGTGAAGTGGGCAGGATTGAGCTGAGCATTAAATGAATGGTAGGACTTGAATAAGCCAATGGCTAATAACCAAGATCTTCTCCCAGTGAGGTCAGTTAATCCAAAGGTGTTCAAGTAGGGCCTCTCTGAGGACTGTAGTAGACCACAAGGACTCAGTGCTATAGCAGAGGCCCAGGACAAAAAGGGCCACCCCTGTGTCCTCCCCATGCCATTCTTGGAGGCAGCAGCAGAAGAAATGGTTAGTAAGGTCCTCTTTTTTTTTACTTCAGCCAAGTTTGAAGTACACCCAGAGAGCTTCACTTCCTTGATTTTTGATGTCTTATGGTTTAGAAGATTAAATGAGAAGATATGGGAGGAACACAGCATAAACTTAGTGTCCCACATATGTTAGTTCCCTTCCTCCGTAATGAACCTGATCTGCATTTATTCTCCATTAGCTGGATTAACTTTCAGGCTGCCCTTGGCATGTTTTTGAGTTATATAGAATCATATTAGAAGGGTATGTAGTTGCTTGTTAAATGAAAAAAGCTTCACTTGAATTGTAATGACTGTTCATCTTCAATATAATTTGATTTTAATTTGCCCTGTATTTTCTTTTTCTTTTTACAGTTATGGGATATGACCCCAGTAGTGTCTTGATGACTCTCACAGGAATCAGAAAGATAGTATTTACTAAAGAAATGGTTGTTTTAATCCAGATCATTACTGGAGAAGTAAAGCAGATGTGTGAGAAATAAGAGAAACTAAAGACCCTAGGTGAATGTGTATCTTACCTATGCAGTCAGTGGTGAACTAGCAAAAGAACATTTGCAGGGACTTTTCAACTTGTTCATACAATATAAAGAAGATATTTTTTTAACAAATGGTTTATACAGTCTGGCTCTGCTACATTGTTTTGACTATGCCGAGAAAAATCTGTGTGGTATTGTTTAATTTTTATACCTTTCAGCCCTCCATTTCACCTGTTGCTTTGTGTGTTGGAGAGATAAGGGAACTATCTGTTCAGAGTATTTTGGTCATTATAAAGTAGTTTCCACGTTTTCTTCACTGTGGCATATATCATGTGGCCAGCATCTTTTTCTTGTTTTTTTACTTCATTTACTTGTACCTTCTTTCTCCACTTTTTGCCAGAGTTTGGGTATTTATATGTTCATTTCTGGTGTTTCTGCTTTTATTTCTTCTCAGTGGAGAGATTGAAAAACTGTTTGTGTGGCCCCACCAGCTGACTTCTTGAATTACCTGAAGAATGATCCATTTCTGTTATCTGACTTGTTCACATTCTCACTGAGTACAACTGACTTCATGTTTTTATCTCAGGTTTCTGTGTTTCCCACTTTAGAAAATGCTGTGAGAAAGATGTTCCCACATTCATTGTCCCAGAAGTAGATGATTAAAATTCACAGCTTCAACCATCAGTGCCTGGATCATTTAGCATTCAACTGGGCCTCCTGGGCCCTTTATGTGTTAGGGATTTTTTGCTTGTTTGTTTTTTGAGTTGTTTTGTTTTGTTTGACATAGCTCTTATAACATTCAAGACAAAAACCTACAAGCTCCAAAAATAAATGTCTTTAAGATTTTTTTTCCTGTGTGACATCAGCTCCGAACTGGAACATGTATTACTTTAAGATTGTAATCCTGCTTTCTTCCTCACCATCTGTATTTTCTTACCCTTCAAAATCGACACATTCAAATATTTCATCTTACTGTATTTCATCTGAACACTTCACACATTTTCATATTGAGACTGTATGTGATCTGAGATATATAGGTACTGAATGCTACAGCTCCTGCTGTGTTCCTGTTAGGAACATGAAAAAAGATTTTAGAAAATGAACATAAAGAATTCTTACTTCTGAGGGAATCAAATCAAACTTGATAAGTGATACAGAAGACCTTTTTCAAAATCTTATTTTCACTGAAAAAATAGGATTAAAATTAGTGGCAAGCACCTGCCCCATTCCAAGCACTTTATGTGGACACCACCTCCTGAGATGCTCACCTGTCAGGAATAGTAAGGGGTTTTACCAAGTCTCTTGAGGATCACAGGGTTAAATAAAGTCTCACAGATAAAGAGAACACTTGTCTGCTCTTACCCTTCTGGGCCTTATCTTCACAGTAGCTGTTCACTTCAGCTTTGACAAGTTTTTGGTAATAGAAAAGATTTGAATACAATAGAAATCCTTTTTTTTTTTTTTTCTTTTCCTGGAAAGCGTTTCACTCCCCTCACAATCATTCATTACTTTTCTAACTGGCAATACCCGTTGAAAGCTATACGTGGATACCACCCTAACCCTGACCCAGTTTGCTCCCCAGGGATGGGGCTTTCTGGAAGGGACTCTGCTGGCCCAGCATTGGGAAGCGGGGCCAGAGTGTGTGCCCTACGCATCTGTGGCACGTGACAGCCATCACCGGAGGCCTGCACTCTCCAGGATGCACACAGGCCTGTATGTGCACACAAAGTCATCATCTGTCACTTCACACCACGCTTGCTTGTGTTCAGACAGAGCTGTTATAACTACTTTGTTCTGCATGGTTACTCTGTGAGAGAGCTTTAAAAAGGGGAGTACAGGGCCGGGGATTTAGCTCAGCGGTCCGGTGGCCTGCCGTGCAAGTGCAAGGACCCGAGTTCAATCCCCAGTACCAAAAAAACGGGAGGGGAGTACATTTAAAATACTATTTTGTAGTGTATTACTAGAACCTGTGGCCACACTATGTTGTATATAATAGAGAGCTGCATTCTGGAAATGAGTAATAGAAGTGAGTCACTCTGTTTTCACTTCCTGGACTTCTGCACCTGGCCTGCACATGAGGGGAAATACAGTTTCAGGGAGGCAGGAGTTCAGGCACCCAGCAAGCTTTGTGTGGATTCCCGGTTATAAATTAGTTCGGACCTCACTTGGAAAGCTGATTGCCCCATCACCTATGGACACTGTGGTCTCTGTTCTGTGACCCTGTGCTTCATTCCGGCCACCTCCCTCCCTGCAGTGCTGTGGCCCAGCCTACAGGGCCGCTCAGAGGTTGAAATCTGATTGGTGATGAAAACTGTGATTGAAAACCATTGGTGTTTTAAGGTATCCTTTGCTCTGCCCTTTGCTTTCCCCTTGTCTACGTGGATACTTGAATTTGGTGACATTTTATGTAGCAGATTAATTGTACATGTTTGTAATACTGTGAATTCTTGCATTTTGCATTAAGTATCTCCACCATTTTTGTAACCTGTAGAGAAATGTGTGCTGGTGTTGGATGTCTTCCAAGCATTTTGTGGAAATGCAGGCTTCATTCATTACGAGTGAAAGCTGGCACCAGCACTTGGCTTTTCTCCTGTCTAGGTGAAAATCATAGTTCTTGCTGTACCCTACTGGATTTGCACTTTACATATATTTTTGCTGAATTAAACATACAGCAGCTCTGGCAAATAACGCCTAATGTGGCTGTGTTGAGGAAGCAGCAGAACTGCACTTCACAGAAGAAAGGAATTAATCGCATGTTCTTGGTTCCCCCGAAGGAAGGATGTTGCTGGAGTGTGCAGCTGCCTGGGTGTGTCTCCACAATAGCAAAAATGGTCTCAAACTAAATACTTGGAACCGTGTGTCATTTTATGTGTGGTCAGTCAACCATAATGGATTTCTTATTGTTTGAATTATTCAGAGAATCATAAAGTCATAAAACTGAACGTGATCTTGATCTAGAATGTTCCTAGCAGACAAAACACTTCAGTCATACCAGGAAGGTAGATATAATTGAAGCATAAACAAGAGAATCCAAAAGAATATTCAAGGGACAGCTGTTTCTGAATATTACCTAGTAACTGCATGAGTGGGAGGAGTGACTTCAGCCCCTTGAGGCAGAGAGCTCTCGAACCAGGTTTGTTCTTCTCCTTGAAAGCTTCTGGTAGCACATTGCAGTTTTATCTTCTGAGCTTCACTTTTTAAAAGTACAATGTATTTTTATTTAACATTAATCCTTAAAGCCTGCATTTTGGCTTTTAAGCAAAAGAGGGGCTCTAAACTATGTGTCACAGTTAGTGGACGTAAATATTCATTAAATGAAATTCCTTTGGTTTTGCCTTTTCATAATTGTACATAAGGGAGCTTGTTCACTAAGATTTATATGTTAAAGTGAAAGAAAAGTGTTTTACCCAAATGTTCTCATTTTTCTCCTTTAAAATAATGTTAGGTTAAATTTTGCCTGGTGTGAAAGTGGATATTTATCAACTTGATTAAAAAACACAGAAATTAACTCAATTTTGAACACTGAGTTATCTAGATTATTGGTGATTCTCCTGGTCCAGCTCATCCCACTACTACTGAGAGCCCCCACACACCAGGCAGCTTGGTGTCGGGGTCACCATGAGCCTGAGGCCCCTTCCTGGCTGGGCAGAGGCCACACAGGTGAGTAAATGGGCCATTCCAGCACCATGCAATTAATGTAATGATCGGGGTGTGCTTGGAGTCCCAGCCAGGGTGATCCTAACCCAGCAGAGACTAAAGAAAATCTAGGCTGCAGAAATAGCACAGATAAGCCTAAAATCTGCAGTGCACATGGTGTGCACAAGGACCACAGAGAGGTGGCATTGCCAGAGAACATCAGGTGACTCAGCAGCAGGCCTGGAGCCCAAGCCTTTGTGGCCACTAAGACACCAATGCTGCATGGCCTCGGGGCCTGGGAGGTGGGGGGCACACCCAGTTCCCTGGGACAGATTTGCTCAGAGGCTTACTGTGCAGTGAGTGCTAGTACTGCTGCTGCTTCTTTGGAAATCTCAAGAATTGGATCTGAAAATGACCCATGGTATCTAATACTTGGATTTTTCTGGATGTGCTGCTTTTCAGCTAAGATGTGGACCTGGAGATCATGCATGCACAATCCATGGAAGGATATGACTAACAACTAAATTGTAGGCCTGCCTTGCTTAGCTGATCTGCTGTGAAAAGGAGAAGGTTAGACTACAGAAACGGGTGGGACAGGCAGAGATTGTGCTGGTGGGGGAGTTGCACTGATGTACAATACAAGGCATTGCCATGCCCAGATAGGCAGGTGCTACTGGTAGTCCCTGTCCTGCTTAGCCTCAGACTACTCTCAAAAGCAACAGGCCATTCCAGTACCATGTGGCAAATGCCAGTAGTCCTTGTCACCAGGGCACTCCCCAGATTGAAGGAGAAGAATTTTCTCAACGCAGTTAGAGTACAGAGGGTTCAGGCAGCCACCTGGCTCCCAAAGACCTAGCTGTGCCAAGGAGGGGATGCCCCATGGCAGTGCTCACAAGTGCCTCTTGCTTGCTGTTATATTTGCCTTTTCCCATAACTGAATTTAGGAATATCTGCATTCATGTTTCAATTATAGCTCAGCTTTACAACTGAGAATGAATTCCAACCCTCAGGTTTTAGTTTGCATTTTTGCCTTTTAATGTTATCCTTCCCACCAAGCAGCTTCCTTAGGTCTAACACATGGCAGCCACATCTGAAAATTAGATCTGCCCTAAATTGGAGGGGGTCCTGCCCTTGTATTTCCCATGCCAGGCAAGCTTTTATAAGACAGTAGGTAGCCCCTTGTCAGAGATGTTGAAAAGGAGATTAAAACTTTGAGGATGCATGAATTTATAGTTCTTTTTAAGGTCCTTTCAAATCCTGTGATTCTGTGATTCCATGAATGTTAATGGTCTAACCCAAACTGTCACCAGCACAGGACTGATTTCACTCTGACAAATGAGAGCATATTGCCACGCATACCTTTTTTGGTTTCTGCCATATCAAATGAATTGCTTTCTGGATTTTTTCCATCTAAAGCCTAGGAAGGTATGGCTTTAGAAGATTATAAAGGTGGAAGTTAATCATGGTACCATCTCATTATAAATAGATAACCTCAAAATGTTCAACTTTATGAGTCAAGAGTATCTGATTTTCTTGGGAGAGGAAGTATCTGGGAATTCCAAGTTGATTAAGTTTGGAATCTGACCTTGATATTTATGATTCTTTGAAGTTGTTTTCTTGGTCCTCTGGAATATATGAGAGGGTGAACTATAACTCAAAAAAAGAAAAGGAAAGTGGTTTTAAATCAAATATCTCTCTTACATATTTTTCTGTCATTTGAATGGATGGCAGCCTATTGTCAGTAGCCAGTATGAAGTGCAGACCAAAATACTTCTGTTGCCATTAACTATTGTATTCATACACATCTTCTGCTATTTGCCTTATTTTTAAAATTACTTTGGTTTTCAAGGTACTGTCATTTTGCAAAAGAAAATGTACCAAAATTGCTATTAACTGGACAACAGGGAAGGTGCTAGCCTCACATCTGTGCCTCCCACCACTGGCTTCATCCCCAGGGACACAGACTCGTCCATTCATTGGCACAGCCAACAGGCTGTGCCCCAGCCTGGACCTGGCTGCAGTGGGCTTGTTACTTCATGGGTATCTTCCTCTTTTTCTGGAATGAGGAGATTCTGCAGGGGTCAGGCTCGGAATGTAGTAGGCCTGAACCCAGAACAGATCTCTCCAGAGTGGGCCTAGCAGACCCTGCCCTTTGCCACTGGATTCCATCAGCCAGACCAACCGTCTTGACATTGACCTCCTGAGCATGATGAGGTGGTACTATGCAAGAATGTCCTAGGATGAGATGTCTGTGTCCGGTTCTACATCCTATGCTGCTAAACAAAACGAATGTTTTCACTCTGCTCATCTTCCCACTGTGCTGCCCGCTAACCTCTAATGTATGTGTAGCCATTATTGGTGTAAGGCTCTCCCTGCGAGATGCCTCTATGGTTTAAAATAAATGTTTGTGAACACTTGCCTGCAATTATGTTCCCATTGTTGCATTTACGTGTAGCCACACACCCCAGTACCTGTTTGGTGCTACCCTTGTGGGTTCTGACGTGTTAGGCTAGGTAGAGGCAGATTACTCCTGCACCTGGCTGTCTAGACCTCAAGGAGGGCCACAGTCTGGAGACACAAGTAAGACGTAGGCTGTGGCTGTGTGGTACTTACCTTTCATGTAACTCTGCTTTTGCTGTGTTTCATAAACTTTCTAAATGAGAAAAGATTTCAGGTCCAATACAGCCAGGAAAAGCCTCTTATCAAAGCTCATGAGGTCCATTTTATGCAGATAAAAGTAGTTATAAGGTAGTAAGTGACCTCTCCACCCCCACCCATGTGGAATAGCTGGTGAGGGGTGGCTGAGTTGCACAACTCTGCAAGGCCCCTGTCCCTATCCTTCCAGCATAGCCTCACCCACACTCAGCACCACAAAAGGCCCTGACGTCCTGCAAAAAAGCAGCAAGGCAGTCAGATGAATCCCATGTTTGCCAAAGAATGCTGCCTCCTGTCAGGGGACACTGGCCTTCCAGGCAGGTGCACCCAGAAAAATCCCTTGAGTCCTTGGCTGGTATTCCCTGCATCTGAATGTTTCAAATGCCATGAAGGAGTCACACCCATCGGGATTTCTGATGCTGTGAGGGATGCGTCCTGTTTATTTCTCCTTTGACACCAAGAACTTCAGTACATGGATTCTAAATCTGTTTTGTTGGTCTGTGTTGGTTTCTCTGGACCGGTAAGAGATAAGCTGGTGTGACTTAGGGATTTTATCAAAATGTAGTATCAGAATGCCGGGGGCATTATTAAAGCAGTTCATAATCTTAAGCAAATATAAACTAGGCCTTATTTAAGTTGTGTACATAAATATTCACCATCCCTTGGCCGTGCTTGTTCCTGGGGGCATGCACAGTCCAGTATCCTCCTCCCCTCTCCAGGGTACAGAAGTGGACTGGAGGAGCCAAGGAGGGCGAGGAGGCAGTCACAGGGAAGTCGTCTGACTCCCACCCTTGGATCCCCTCATCCTGACAGTGTTGGTTAATCTTTAACTTATATTTTTTTTAAACCATATACTCAAATAGATGAGACATTTCAACAAGGAAACCCGCTTCTGAAGATTAAGATTGGCTTGTTTAGAGCCTCGGTCATACGAATTTTAAAGTAAGTTACTGTTTTTCATAGTGCCTCATTGTTGCAGAGGCCTCTTTAGAGAACACTGAAGTGGAGCCCATCCACCAGCCCCAAGTCCACACCGTGTCTCCTGGCTTGTCCTAAACTCTGAGCCAGCTGTTCAGGATTTCAGTGAGTTTGTCCTCTTTGACTGATGAGGGGATTGCTCCAGCAAGAGGCGAGTGTGCAGAAACTGGTTACTAACCTATGCCAGAGAGAACAAAGTGTGAGGTGCTGCAGCACATGCTGGCCTCACTGCTGCCTGCTGCCACTTGGAAGTTAGATACCATCTCTCAGTGGTCTCACCAGTAGGCACCATGGATGGCATTGTGAAGGGGAGGCCACGGGGAGGAGGAAGTGAGAGTTGGGATGGATTCAAGATTCGTAGGCATGGGCCAATCAATGCTGGGCAAGGATTGGAAACCAGGAGATGACAGCCAAGGCTAGAAGGGGTGGACACATGTATGGATGGATGGCCGGCGGGAGGTGGTACCACTGGAGTCCTGGCCACCAAGAGATCCCTCAAGCCAAGGTGATTATCACCCATAACAGCAAAATGCACCACAGAGAAGTGACGATTACACCCAAGACCAGATGTCCTGACCATGTCCACACTAATCCCTAACTCTTGCCTCAGACTTGCCCCCTGAGGAGCCACAAGTAGAAAACAAGATCTAGGCGGGTAAACATTCCCAAAACAGGAGCACATCACGGTTCCTCTGTTTGCCTTGCTCTGGACAGCTCCTGCTACCCTGGGTAAGTTCCCGAGGCATCTTACATCCCCAAGGTAAGAATCCCTTTTATCCTGTCCCCATGGGACCTGGCCTTGCCCAAGGCCTGAATGATAGGGTCATCACAAATTGTAAGGGAAACCACTAAATTCATAAAGATGAAAAGGAATAAATAAATAAATGGAGGGTACAAAATCAGGGGTGATAAGCTTCCCAAAATTATTCCCAAGAGGCGAAGGAGTCATTTTACCAACAAAGCCCAGGCATAATCCCAGGAAAGCGAGACAGTCCCATGGTTCCATGACGGAGGGTGCCAAACCGTGGCCCCCAGCCATGTTTCAACTGCTTTCATGGCCAAGAAGGGAGTCACTACGTGGGTACCAGGCTCTGAGGTCCGTGTAGGGGAGAGCAAGCCACAGACGGCAGTGTCTGCCCTCTTCGCTGCAGGTCGCAGTGTCCCCCAGCCTAGTGGGGAACTCTAGCACTGCAGCCTCAGCTTATGAGGACAGCATTCATTTCTTTAAATGCATTAAGATTACTGGTACATTTTAGGTATACATTATGATCACGTTCATTATTGGGAATTTGTACCTGTGTACAACATATCTCGGTTCTTACTTTTTCCCATTCCTCTTCCCTCCCTTCAACCCCTCC